ACTTTATAGATAAACGAGGGTTGAACAACTAAGTAAACAGATTATAGATAATAAGAGCCAGTTTCTCACTGTCAAAAAAAGATGTTACAAACAAGCAAAGAGAGAAGGCTAGAATGAACGCTGTGGTGTTAGATTGGAATTGGAGGTATCAGCATGAATTCACTGGGATTTTTATAGATAGAAACAACATACACGTGTGCGTATGTATAGAACAGTACACATCCATATATTTCTAACCTCTGTCGGCTGAGAAGGCCTAGAAGCCACGACATCCCAGTAGCAATGAGAATACCTACCATCCAGATCTTGGTTTCTAAACAGCGTTGTCTGAAGAAGACACTAGGGTTCCTCGACGAAGTGGCCGAGTCTAGAGCAGGAGCAGGAAAAATACAAAAGATGATTATGGGAAAATCTTATGGTACCAAAAGTTAAGGAAATGCTCAAAAACATGTTGGGAGCTTACTGAAATGACACAGTAAACAACCTGAAGGATTTTCTAATGGAGACTACAGAGTCACAGAAAAGAAGCCCTAAAAACGTGCCTTAAAATCCCCCTCCAGTCTTTGGATAATACGTAAGTTGTACATGTGCAGGGAAAGAATCTCGGAGGCTTAGCTAGATAGATACTGAAAGCTGAAGAGTTGTGCAGAAATTTCAGAGGTCACACATATTGGAGAAATGGAGATTCATGTTTGGACTCATCTGGAGTGAAGTAACCTTGGTAAAAACCTCTGTTTCAACTAAGACCATAGAAATGCCACAACCTCAGAGTACCATGCACTAAAAGATACAGGTATAAGTGCAAACTGGAAATACATTTGTCCTTATAAAATCTAAAGCCTGTTTTTTTTTTTTTTTCCTTTTTGTCTTTTTTCGTGTCCAGCAATGGATCACAACCCTCAGTGTCGCGCCCGTACTGGACTGGGACCGGCAACGAGATCGCACCCCTCGGTGTTGCACCCACACCTCGCTCAGCCAGTGAGCGGGAACCGGTCTGTATGTGGGATCCGAACCCTTGGCAGGAGCGCCACCGCGCTCTCAAGCGGCGCACTGTAGCAGTGCGCCACCAGGCCGGCCCTAAAGCCTGTTTTGATAGACTCGAAGTGTCCCATTAGTATTATAACTACCTTCCATGACAAAACTTATCTTTAGAGAAGGACAGCATAGTCAGGAACCTCTAAAAAATGTACCATCACAATACAAGCACACAACAAAAAATTACTAGACATGCAAAGAAGCAGAGAAAGGTCCAAATTGTGAATATAGAAATTAATAGAAGCAGACCCCAAAACAATCCAGGTATTGGAGTTAACAGACAAGGACTTCAAAATAACTACAAATAAAATGTTTTAAAAAAATGGAGAGGAAAGGACAAATTGTGGAAAATGAAATACAAACCGAGAATCTTGAAAGAAATCAGAGAAAAAGGATACCTCTCTTTCAAAACAGCAAGAATAAGACTAATGATGACTTTTCAAGAAAAAGTACAGAAGCGAGAAGACAATGAATAACTGAATTTGAATTTTAAAAAACTGCCAATCTAAAATTCTATAACTTCACAAAATGTTCTTCACAAATGCAGATGAAATAAAGATGTTTTCCAAAGGGATTTTTTTAAGAGCTGAAAGAATTACTCACCAGATCAACTGCACTTCAAGAAACACTAAAGAGACTTATTTGGGCTCAAGGAAAGTGATTCTATGCATCCTCTGTTTCAACTAAGACCATAGAAATGCCACAACCTCAGAGTACCATGCACTAAAAGATACAGGTGTAAGTCCAAACTGGAAATACATTTGTCCTTATAAAATCTAAAGCCTGTTTTGATAGACTCGAGGTGTCCCATTAGTATTATAACTACCTTCCATGACAAAACTTATCTTTAGAGAAGGACAGCATAGTCAGGAACCTCTAAAAAATGTACCATCACAATACAAGCACACAACAAAAAATTACTAGACATGCAAAGAAGCAGAGAAAGGTCCAAATTGTGAATATAGAAATTAATAGAAGCAGACCCCAAAACAATCCAGGTATTGGAGTTAACAGACAAGGACTTCAAAATAACTACAAATAAAATGTTTTAAAAAAATGGAGAGGAAAGGACAAATTGTGGAAAATGAAATACCAACCGAGAATCTTGAAAGAAATCAGAGAAAAAGGATACCTCTCTTTCAAAACAGCAAGAATAAGACTAAGGATGACTTTTCAAGAAAAAGTACAGAAGCGAGAAGACAATGAATGAATAACTGAATTTGAATTTTAAAAAACTGCCAATCTAAAATTCTATAACTTCACAAAATGTTCTTCACAAATGCAGATGAAATAAAGATGTTTTCCAAAGGGATTTTTTTAAGAGCTGAAAGAATTACTCACCAGATCAACTGCACTTCAAGAAACACTAAAGAGACTTATTTGGGCTCAAGGAAAGTGATTCTATGCAGAAACAACTTCAGAACTGAATGAAGATCCTCATGTAACATAAAATGTGACTAAATACAAATGAATGTTGACTGTATAAAATAACCCTGTACAGTTTTACAACTCTTCTGCAAGTCTAAAAGTTCTCATAATGAAAGGTCACTTCCTACACTATAAATGATGGCAGCCCAGAAGTGACCCCATCAGATTCTCCTCAGCAGTAGAGAAGGGGGAGCCAAGTGACCCGCTCAGTCTATACTGACAATACCTCGAGCGGAGATGCAGAAAGTGACTCTCCCTAAATAGAGACAAGTGGAACTCCATCCCGTGACCCTCCACCTCTCCCCACACTTGAGACAGTAGGGCCTCCATCCACTAATTCTTCCCAGGTCCCCAACACTAGAAAAGATGGGAGCCCCAGGAAGGGACCCTTCATGCCCTCAGCAACAGAGACAACGGGAGCCCCAACCTCTGACCCCAGACAATAGAAGCTTCACCAAGTCATCCCCCATATCCTTCCAACATTACTTATGATAGAAACTCTAAAATGCAACCCTCTATCGCCTGCACACTCAAGAAGAAAGGAGCCTCTGCAAATGCCCCCCGTGGATCAGATGAAGAGACCAAGGGCCAGGGAGGGGCACTGACAGGTCTCCAGTTGCCCAGCAGCTGGAGCCAGGAGGGGGTGCTGAGGGTGCTGGTCTCCCCTCCGCAAGTGACCACCTCTATGTAGGGCCGGATCATGTGCAGGTTGATGAGACGCTCCTGTTTCCCAATGATCATTATCCGCCACTGGTGCCCACTGGTGGCACCGCCATCCTCCACCACACTATTACCAAACAGATCTGTGCTGTCCTCGGGCATGTTCTTGGCCGTGGCCACAGGGGTGTCATCTGGAAGCAGCCAGGGGTGGGGGGAATGAGAGGGACACCTGAGTCCGGACATCTCCCAACCTCCTGCTCAGACTCCCTCCTGCAGCTCCTTTGCTGCTGGCGGCTGTGTATCCTTCACTTCTCCCCATCTGGCTGCTCTGCTCACCCACTTTCCTCTCCCTTCTACTCACCCTTCAAGGTCCAGCTCAAACGCCACCTCCTCCAGGAAGCCTTCCCAGAAACCTCTTTCACTGGTCTCCCAGAACGCTCTGTTGGTTTTGGAGCCCTGTCCTGGGGTAAAAAGGATTCTAAGAGAACACTCTGACCAACTGCACCACAACAAATCGGGCAACCTAGATGAAATGGGACAGATTCCTAGAAACACACAAACTACCAAAAGTGACTGAAGAGGAAGCAGAAAATCTGAGTAGACCTACACCACGTAAGGAGATTGAATCCCTCATCAAAAACTTCCCAACCAAGAAAAGCCTAGGACCAGATGGCTTCACTGGTGAATTCCACCAAACATTTAAAGAATTAATACCAGATTTTCTGAAATGCTTCCAAAATACTAAAGAGGAGGGAACACTTCTAAATGTACTCAGTGAGGTCAGCATTACCCTGAGACTGAAGCCAAAGACATCAAAAGGAAGAAAACCACAGACCAATATTCCTTATGAGTATAGATGTAAAGTCCAGCCCACTACTCATGGGGTAAAGTCTGAATCCCGACCTGTTCCGGAAGGCCTGACCCTTGCATTCTGGCTCCTGATTTCAGCTTCAGTCTCTCTTCAAATGTTCCCCTCCCCATGCCAGTGCAACCATCTCTCCCTGAAGACCCCGAGCCTTCTGGATTCTGTGCCTCTGCATGTGACCAGCAGTCTTCCTGGAGTGCCCCCTTCTCAAAAATAAGAATTACCTTATGTACTTTGTGGTTAGATAACACTTGTACACAGTACAAAATTCAGAGCCTATAAATAGTTACAAAGTTACAAGTGGGTCTCCCTGGTGTCCCATCTCCCAGCTAGCCAGCCAGCGCCTCTCTGCTCAGAGCCCTGCACTGAAACCAGCTGGACGGCCATCTTCACCCCGCCTCTGCCCACTTTCTACTTTTATGTTTGTTACGATCTGGCACAGGTGCTGCCGCCTCCAGGAAGTCTTCCTGGATTGCACCTCCAGTCAGCAGGCTGCCCTGTGCCTCCTGAACCCTATCAGCTGTGTCCTGGCCACACTGTACTCTTAACAGTCAGTTTCCATGTCTGTATTCCTCCAACAGACGTGAGCAACCAGAGACCAAGGGCCGTGGGTGAGCAGCTCCGTGTCCTCGCTCTGTCACTGCTGGAATAAACCATAACTGAGTATAACAATGGTGTTCCGCGACTGGAAACCGATATCCGTGCCAGCTTCCCATTGTCTCCCTGGGCATCTCTCTCCCTCCTGGGCCACAGGCAGAACCACTGATCCTACACTTTGCCGATCAACTCTATCAGGCTGGGAGAAATGGAGGAATTGGGAGTCAACAACTCATGTCCAGATATTAATTTCTTTTAAGCCACAGAACACAGGAAGGTGCTCGGGGGGTGCAAGTCAGGTGACGCGAGGAGAGCCTGTTTCTATGGATGATTTGCTGTGTGATGCTGCTCCCCGTGTCTCCCTCTCTGGGCTTCTCAGGTGGTTAACCTCTCTTAAAAGAGCCACCTCTATCCCTCCTGTTCTTCCTGCCTCAGGACACGGCGAGACCTTATGCCCAACTGCTCAGGCCAACACCCAGGTGGACCTTTGACTTTCCACCCCACATCCCCCCAGCAAGTGCTGCAGGCTCTGCTTCCAAGGGGGGTCCCAAGTCCTCCCACTCCTGTCCACCCCATGGCCACCACCATCTCGTATAACAACGCCCTCCCGCTGGCCTCCTCTCTGGCCTCCCTGTCCCTGCAACTGTCCCCTGTTCCCTGGCCATGACAGGGAGGCTTCCACAGACACATCAGAGATTGGATCTGGTCAATCCTGCCGCAGTTTTCTACCACACTGGGAATAAGGGCCACACTCATTGCTGTGGGTTCCTAGGCCCTGTGAAGGCTTTGTTCTGGCCTCGGGAATTTCAGCTTAAATAACACCTACCCGGAGAGGCATGACCTGACCACCCTTTGAAGGGACCTCCTCGCACAGTTACCTAAGCCCAAAGTCTCTCCCCTCAGCACTATGGACACCGGGGCTGGGTTGTTCTCTGTGGTGGGAGCATCCAAGGCACTGCAGGTGCTGAGCAGCATGCCTGGCCTCCACCCACTCCGTGCCAGGAGCACCCCCAGTCGTGACAGCCACAAATGTCCCCAGACATTGCCAAGTGTCCCTCGGGGAGCAGAATCACCACCTGCCCCAGCAAGAACCCCTGCCCTCTCCCCACTTTATTTTCCTGTGGCACCAATGACCAATCCTCTTGTGCATATTAAGCATCTAGCGTCTGTCTTTTGGACAACCCTTGCACGCAGGTAGGGACCACCTACTCCCGTCAAATTCCCACCGTGTCCCCGACACCTCAATCAAGACCTGCCCCTGAGTTACTGCTTAGCAAGTATTTGTTATCTCAATTGCCTGCAGTTTGTTCGCATCTTGGTGGCCTTTGAGAATCCAATGAAAGCTGCGTCCCCCAGAAAAATCCACAAGTCCACAAGAAAAATGTGCCTCAAATTGGCAGGGTGAATAGATCCTCCTGGAGCTGTTCTGTGTCCCCCCCCACCCCTGTTAGAACCTCTGATCCTGGACCTGTTCTGTGTCCCCCCCACCTGCCACTCTCTGACTCTATGGGGACACAGGATGGCTCCTGAAAGCCAGCCTTGGAAGCCAAAAGGAGACCTTGATTTGGGGGTGGGCAGGGACCACCGAGAGACCCTCAACCATTACCTTCCCATTCCAGTTCATTGCTGTTCCCCAGGAACTCCAGCAAGTCGGTCTCATTGGGGGTCTCAGTGTCATCCATGTTGATATCTAGGTCATCGAGGGTATCCAAGAAGCCACCAGACAGCAAGGAGCTGCTGCTCTGGTCCAGGGAAACGTCCACCTCTGGGGCCACCAGTGTCTTGAAGTTTAATGTGTTGGGAGGGGCTGTGGGGTAGCAGTGAAAGGGATGGCCCGGAGTCACAAAGAATTACACCGAGAGACAGATACTCAGCCAGAATGTATACTGGAGGGCTTCAGGGGCGAGCGGGTGGGCTGCCCTTTCAAAGCGGGAGCAGCTGCACGCAGAACTAGGGAGTGCCTTATATATCCTAATAGGTTGAGCTGTCTCACTGTCATTGGATGAGAGGACCAAGCGAGAGTTTAAGCTGAGCTGGGACTTTCCTATAGGTGGGGAAAGTCGTGTGCGCGGGAAGGTGATGTGGCGGTGAAGGACAAGAGGGAGGGGGGTCTTTTGTGGTTCTCAGAAAATGTGCTATTCCAGGGACCTGAAACTTTCCGCAGCCATTTTGGGTGTTCTTCCTGTCCACCTGCTGCCATCTTAGACTGACATCGGTCATAACATAACTGGCTAACAAGCAGGACAACAGAAAACCCCATTGGCTTCTTTTTCTTTTTTCTCCTCCCCAATTCCTGACCCAGTGGAAGAGTTTTAGAGCACGGGGCTGGGGAGGGGAGGCTACACTCCATCTCATAGTGATCCCATCGTGTGGGGTGACGACGACTCAAAGAACATCCACTCAAGTCAGCAGTAAACATCATAACAGCCCTCCTGTGGGGAGGTGCATGCTCGGATGTGGAGTAGACCGGGGTTCAAAGCCTGACTTTGCCACTTACTAATGAAACAGAGTAAGGCTAGGCCTGTGAACCAAACCGACTCCATCTTCCCTGCAGAGGACACTTTATTACTTTTCTACTCCTCAGTCATGGGACACCCTGCACATGATTACCCATGGCCTGTCCTGATAAAACAAACAGAGATAGGAGGGAAACAGATATTCACTGAATTGCAAAACCCCTCCCCAAGGCTTCTTTACTGTAATTGTAAACATTAAGTTACAGATTAATCTTAACACCCCTTTAGGAATTCCCACATGGGCACAATACTTCAAGGTGACTGCCACAATGACCCTCCTGGGGTGACGATGATGAACACCACCACCATCTCGGACCTACTGAGCAGGAACAAGGACCAAAGTCCTAACTGAGCATGTGCCCATGATGCCACCAGGAAGAACAGAATGGACCACCTGCCGTGGAGATGGCCTGCACCCCCTAACTCCCATTGCAAGTTAACATGACTGACTCCATCTTTGTCCCAGTTATAAAAACAGCTAAATGCATTTCTACACTCTATAGCTCTGTGGTCACAAGCCTGTTCCTGTG